ATAGGAATCAAGGAATAGATTCCATCACATGGGTATCTTGACTTCCCTTGACTTGGACTAGTTTTCATTGGTTAGACTTGGTGAAGACCCTTAAATCTAGGGGCGAGATTGACTTGGTACACTAGAAGTCAATTAGGGAGTAGTTGGGCTTCTAGAAGATCCAAGTGGACCAATTGCATGTTGCCATGTACCCTTTTCATTGGGGTTTGTGATATCTACCTCGTTTAAACTTGGTAAGAGGAAGTTACATGGTGATTACTTGTAGTTACTAGAGTAAGATTCTAAGTAGTATAAATAGAGAGGTTGAGAAGCACCTCTCAAGTAGTTTTTTTCAATGGAAGTTAGTTTTGGGAGAAGATAGTGTGGTGATCTTAGTTTTGGGGAGCTTGGTTCTTGGAGACGTCATGTTCGGAGTGGAGCCTTGATTCAATGAAGACTTTGATTACCAAAGTATCCCTTTCCTTTTGAGTGATATCTTACTCATGGTGATAATGTGCATAATGGAGCTTGGACATTGAGAGTTTGTGTAAGAGTGAGCAATAGGGTCATGGTCATAGGGTGGCACTAAGTTCTTCTAGATTCATGATGAGCTTCCAAAAAGCCATTGGAGGTAAACCTGAGTGAGAGTCAGCCCGGAGGTCACAGAGCTGAGCTTGGTGATATCTTGGAGTGTATATCTACACCGTTGTTGTAGGACATGGACAACATGGGCCACCAAGGGTCCTAGACGATATTCGGGTACACTTGGCACTATTGAGTTGGATGACTTCATCTAGGAGTTTGACTCATGGTGTGATTTACAGCGGATGTGCAACTCTACGTTGTTTAATCCGTTTATGGCTTAGAAGGGATAAATATAGCATTTGGAGGGTCCGCCCATGGATGATTATCATGAGTTCCGACGTGAACACCTTGAGGAGATAGAGTTCTGGAGACAATACTGGTCTCCAAACTACATCTCTATTACTTTGGGTATAGTGTTTGGAAGTGCGAGTTCATCCTTTGTACCTAACACTGATGATACGGTTGGAGCTAGTAGAGTTGGGAAGAGTTCAGAGGTCCCAACCTTTAACCCTATTTTGGAGTTCTTCGCACGGTTAAAGAGAGATTACCAAGGGGTGAGAACTGACAAGCTACGAGGCTTGCATGAGTTTCAATGGAAGACTGGGGAGAATCTTCGAGAGGAGTGTACCCGAATGCGTTGGTTGATCAGTGTTGCCCATGGGGTGACAGAGGCACAAGCTGTCCAATATTGGTATGGGATATTGGATAGGGAGTTGAGACGTAGAGTGAGATGCTGCTACCTTACTACATGAGACATCACCTACGTTGGCCATTGTGTTTTGTCTTCTTTGGCGTATTGAGCTCAACATGCAAGAAGAGAGGGTGGTGACTGTTGGGTTTAGCAAGGATTCACCATCTTCATCAACGTCTTCACGTTATCAGTCTATAACACAAACCCGGAGTGGTTATGGTAGACATGTGGGACAGTCTCGACCATCCGAACAGAGTAGTGAAGGTGCAGTATCCAGACCATTGCTATCCTTTTCAGGTCAACAATCAATTGTTGGGATGGTGTGTTGGATATGTGGTGGACCTCATCATAAGAAGGATTGCCTTCAAGGTCGAAGGATGGATCCTGTTGGATCAAAATCATGTGAGCATTGTCACAAACATGGTCACATAATCTTTAATATTTTGATAAGTATGACAGAATCTCTTAAAATTTTACATTATAATTTTAAATCATTGAGTTTGTCAATACAAATCTGAAAAAAATAGCATCATGTTTATAATTTTCTTATAAAATTAGATTGATTTTAATGATTTATTTGAAAAAATATGATTTTTAGTATTTTTTAAAATATTCAAAAATTTAAAATTTATCCTGTTGTGATATTATTTATTTGAGATCAAGTACTATGTTACTCATGATAACCATAAACATCAAAATGTTGCAAAATATATCCAGTGCAATATGATGTTTACCTTAATAACTACAAGATTATATGCAACTTCTAGAAAAATTACCCAGACTAACTGCAATTGTAGTCTCTAGATCACTACATGCAACTTTCTGAGCGCGAGTGCATTTATTATCCACGTGCAAAGTATGAAGTCATTAGTATGTTATCGATGTGATTACCTCTTGTTAATTTTCCGTAATTGCAATCTTAGGTGATTTGGGTAACAATTGTTAATCCTCCGGAAGTGCAAGTTTAGGTAAAGTAGCAGTTACGGTCCGGATGAGTGCAATTTCTAGGTCAATTGCAATATTAGAGATGATGAATAACCTACATCACTGCAACGAAGTAGTCTACTCCCAAAATGTTGCACTTAGAGACAGTAGACTCTATTGAATCTTTATTCAAATTATATCATGTGATTTTAATTTTATAGGCTTAATTGGATTTTTTCATAGAATCGACCCATATCTCACTACCCTCTGTCCATTGCTTTCTTTATATGCAACATATATCTTAACAACCATGAGTTATAAACTTATGTGCATGGTAACTCACATTGGCTTCATGTTCTAGGATAAACTTCAGTGAGGAAAGAAAATATGCTCATAGTATAACTAGAAAATCTATTGCTACTATTCTTTACTGATGATGTCTAGGATTCAAGAATGGTACATGTCATCAAGCCAATGAAGGATGAAACTCATATTCAAACAACATCCGAAAGGAAATTAATAAGAATAACATACAACAAGTTGTTCACTTTGATGATCATATTTGATGTTGAAAATTCCATAACAAATTTTTAGAAAGCATGATAATACAGAAAGAAATTATATTAGTGCTAATTTTCTCAAGATATCAATTTTTTGAAGAAGTATTTGATCGATTATTATAACATGTAAAGACTACATGGTTATGAACATATTCATCAAAGGAACAAACAGATTTTGCACTTTTGCCACAATTTCATTGAAACCGTCCATGTAGGTGGAACTTTGCCAAGATGTCCTATTTATTTATACTTTTCTGTAAAATGCTTCGTCACAATACCGTAACAGCCATTTAATTTGCTCTAACTCAAAGCGGAGGTATATGCTATTGCTAGATGATAAATAGCCCCTTATTGTTTTTTTTCTTTTCTAGTTTCACGTAAATCCTCACCGCCAACTTGAAACTGACGAACTCTAAAAAACTTGAGAGTGGAGTACCAAAGTAGTTATGTTATTATGAATCGCGCCACCATTGGTTTCTTTGCCCATGTAATTGCGCATCTTTACAATCTTCTAATTTTATTTTATTCTTTGCTATTTCAGTATGAGCGAAAATTATGCTTGGCGAATAAACGGCTGGTACGGTACACGTCAGAAGTGCCTGTCCATACCCACATTAAGACAACAACGGGCAGCAACAAATATCACCTATATATCATCAGACGAGTAGCCACTCTACATAGTCCAGCAACAACGCTTGGAAGAAGAAATAACGAATGCGCTGTTAGGGCAGGGCACGGTTGGGCTTTGAACGTTTCTTAAGCTCGCTGCCACATCTTATCACATCACAGGACGCCCGTTATTTGCCACATAGTCTGCACTTTAGATAAGGTAGGGGAGGGGGCCTAGGAAGTCTGGGGGGAAACAGGTGACTGTCGAAAGCGAGTGGTGGACTACAGCATCGATTGCACATCTGAAAGGTTGCCAGCAAATCGAGTGCACCTTAGAACGTCTCTTGTTTAGAGTCCTCGTTCAAAGTGTAGTGTTTTGGAAGATCTTCCACCAGCAATAGGTGCCTGCGATAGATTGAGCACCAATTGTAGTTTGGCGCAGATCGAATTGCACGCTTTGTTGCGAAATTATCTTTTCGTCTGAGCTCAGACTTTCTCATTCCGGCGTTGCTGCTTGATGCTGATCTTGCAATTTAGCTGAGCTGCTTTGAGCCAGGGCTTTCTCGGAAGAGATGGCCTCCTCCTCTGTTATGCTCACAGGATTGAGTCTATATCGCAAAACTCCTCATGACACTAAATCTTGCGGGTTTCTGCAAAGGTCCGTCCGATTTAGTACTCGCGTCGAATTAGGCTCCTTTACATTGATCGGGGATAAGTCATGGCGTGGACACTCTATGCAATTGAAGGGAAGGTCGAATGTTTTTGGTAGAAAACAAAGAGGATTTTCAATGCGTATGGGCGCGGAGGACAATTCTGAAGCAAGCAGCGTTGCTGTGGAGGAGCAGCCACAGCTGACTTCGGAGGAGGAATTAGACCGAGAGGATGTCACCGAGATTCTTAGGGTTTATTTCTCTTCCTTGTGCCTGTGAGACGTTCGAAGTGCCACCGACAGTTCTATATATGAGAGCTTGACGCAAAGTAACGATAATTGGAATTCCGTGCGCTTTCATGACCGTTGCGATATCGCAGCCTTCGTAGCTGCCACTGGTGGTGTCCTATTCATTGTAGCTTTTGTAGAACTCAGTAGTATGAAGGGGTGAATTCCCTCTGATTCCTTGAAACAATCTATGGCATCTCTTTGGTGCAACTCAACCCTTCGAATGGCCTGCAGGTCGTGGAACTTCTCCGGAAAAAAAGAGACATGACGTTCAACGAGGTCTGTAACACCATACGTAATGGGCCCTTAAATTTTAGTGCCTAAATATTCGTCGATTACACAGATTGATTCAAAATTCTTTTTTGTGTATATAAAACCGCGAAGGGAGAAAAATCAGTGTCAGTCTGTTGTTAACTTGGCATTTCTTTTTCTTGCATTTTTCACTAGAGCACGAAAATGTTTGTATGTGAATTCGGGCCCCACGATACTCCGAATGCCTGACTGCTGAATTCAGTAACTTAATAGCAGTCTGTAACTTCGCCTTGGATTTACCTCCGCAGGTGAGATTGACTATCATGATCGAAGATCCCCGAGACGTCGAGCGCAGGAAACAGTTGGGGATCGAGGATGACAGAGGCTGCTCGAGAGAAGATCTGGGTGCGGCTCTCATGGAGGTGAATTCTCTGAGGCTTTAAGCTGGGACGATTATCGAACCGGCTCCATAGTCTAGTGGTTACGACATTGGACTCTGAATATAAGAGCCCGAGTTCGAATCTCGGTCCTTAATTGAAGATGGAGACTACTCAGTTTTCCTCCGTGTAGATCCTCTTGCGCCATCTTGCAGCCTTCGTTGAAACACCTCTAAATCTGATGAGAAATTACTCCGCGGATCAGTTTTACCGGAAGGGAAAATGTCGGGACATAGTTGTACGAGAGAAGCAGACTGACCTCCAAAAAGTGTGAATCTTAAGTCACACTCGTTGGATGGTTAGACGCTGCACTGTGATCAGATGTCATACAGTCTGCTGGACATGAGACCTGGTCTTGCTCTATATCCTGGTTGAGTTTGGGGTTTTTTCTTTTTCTTTTCGTTTTTCTTTGGCAGTTTTGTGCACGGCTGGAAGAGAGTGGACGTTGGGAGCGGAGTATTCTTCTATGAGACCCTGCCTATATTATTTGCAGACTTCAGGAAGTTGAGGCCTCCAGGTTTAAACGGCTTCTGTTACCTAACTGCGTGTGGTTTTTCACTTCGAAGGTCTATGAAGGACGGATTCCACAAGATCGAGTCGTACTGAGAGAGCTCGCCAAGGAGATGCTGCAGTGGCCCAACCTGGAGGTCTTCCCCTACTTGCTGCTAAACCCTTCCCTGATGTTCTTAAGTACTTTCGGTCGTTTTGTCCCTGTTTCGGGATGCATAGCCTTATTATACACACAGACATCCAATTTACTAATTCCACTTTGGTCCACAATAAATCCAGAGTGATTGTAAATTTGAGCTAGCAACCTCAAGCGAGCATCACTCTGAAGGACCTTTGTTTACTTTGAGCTCAAAACATATCATCCTTTGCACCTGGTGTGGAGACTCGGTAGCATAGTTGAAATGCGTTTATACGGTACTCATAGGATGGCCAAAATTCAGACGTATATTTACGAGGCCTCGATAGTTGTGAGCTTCTAGGCTTACACTGAAGGCTTTACGGTTCACGATTTTTCACCAAGACTGCGTGCTGATAGACCTCATTGTGCACTCTGGACAAGAGCAGGACGAGATCGCCGCCGATCGCTTGCCTCCTGTAGCCTCGCCGTACGCCAAAGTAACGAATACGGGAGTGGATCCCAGAGTTGCCGCCGAAAGAGCAAAGGTGGATTGGGACACTGCAGCGGACATCACCCCAGGGGAGGAGAAGAAGGATTTGGGAGAAACCTTGCCGCCCGTTGTGGTACATATTCTGCTTCGTCTCCCACCTTGGGCTCTCGTTTTATTTCTCCTCTGTTCCTCACAGCAGCTCCCGTTTTGTTTTGGGGTGGTTTAGTTTCGTCAGACACTGTCTTTTCAAGAAATGAACCAAATTCAGGTCAAAGGAACAATTCTTGACTCAAGAGCACGTTTTCTCCTGATACGCAGGGTTACAGTTTCCTATATTTGGTGAGCTCCATTCCAGTAATCATTGGGGTCGCTGTGGTGCTAATTCTCTTCCTGAACTCTCTACAATGAGGGCATCTTCCTCATAGTAGACTTGTTTTGACACACCTTTAGCCGGAAAGGAAGGGACTGGCTTCTCATGGTCCGCCACAGGTCAACGCAGTAAAGTGGTTCGTTTGTTCGCTTCACAGTTCTGAATGATTTCGGTTGTTCACGCATGAAGCGCTTCAGATGAGAAACTCTTAGCTGGACCGCTCTTTGCGTTGTTCAAGTTGACGTGGGAAATCCAGGGATCATATCTGAAATGGTGAATCCGATGGTATCAGTCCTCGTGTTTGCGGAGCGGTACATCGGCTGATAGCCTTCACAGTCCTACACGAATTAGAACCTTAACCAACTTCAAAATTGAAGTATTTTCGAACAGATCAAGGATCTTTGATTAAGCTTTGTAATTTAGTCAAACTGCTCCGTGTATTCCCTAAAATACAGTAGGTGACAGTATTTTCCCTTGAGTCAAAACTCGAGTAAAATGTTTATTACTCTTTCCACAAATCGTCACAGGAGAGTACTTGATTGATTTAATTGGCGAATAATGAACACTTCGAAGGTAGAGAGTAGGGAGTACAAAGCAACTCGGGAACTTTTTGAGGCAGTGCGCCAAAATTGTATGTCAGATACCCTCCAAAGGGTTTACTTTAGAGGATACATGACAAGACCTGAATCCAAAGTGGGTTTTACGCAAAGTGATCAACTTGTGCTGTTGAATACATTATTATATTTTCATTTTTTAATAAAAGAAATTAACATTCAAGATGAATTGTGAAATGAATATATTTATTTATTTATTTATTTATATATACTCAAAGTAATATTGAAATAAATCTAAACTACCAGAATAAAGTAAAGTGAGAAAATAAGTTTTACCCTCAGTATAACTTTACGTGTCTCCGTGGAGTAATTTAATATATGACTTCGCGAGATTAAATATTAATCATGTTGCTGAATTAATGAAGTCGTTACTTGTTGAATCGTGGGGATTGTTCATATATGATTTATAATATACCACATCATAAACAATGTTAGGTAGAAGTCATCTTGTTGTGGTATCAACACTTCCATGTGGACTCCTTCACAGCCGGACGGCTCTAAAGAACCGTCCGGTTGTGAAGGATGGAACTTGAGGGAAATTTCCTCAATTTCCTTCTACGATTCTTACTCTTTCACGATTAGATGGCTTTCATTCAAAAGTAGTGCAATCAGGATGGACTCCACATCTTGAGCCAACCACGCATCAAGCCATCCATGCAGACGACAATCCGCCAGCATAAGCCAGAATGAGCGTCCGGAATTCCCGTCCGACAAGAACGCATGGTGAGCAGTGGCTATGGTCATCCGCCTTATCCTTCTTTCATCGCCTTTTCGCGACAAAATAGGAATGTGCGAGAAGCGGGCTGACACGCTGGACAACAATCCTGTAGCTGCCGTGGATTTGCTGTGCTGCCCCATGTCGTTCGTTCGTTCCAGTGGAAGCACTGATTCGTTCATTCACGGCTGGATTGTCTGGTCCGTGATCGGGCTGTTCGTACATTGTTTCGTTCATCGTCGGGAGGTCCAGCAGCAGGAGCGTGGTCATTCATCGATAAGCGGTTGGTCGATCGAACTCCGCGACTCCACAGGCACAAGGCAGTGGAAGATTGGAGGCAGTTCGGTGCTATAACCATGGCCACCTACAAATTCACAGTGCCCGTTTGTTCTGCCGTCTCTGGTCCCATTGCAACGGCGAGTGCCGGTAGTGTTTCATCCGCGACACTGACCAGCAGTTCGTTCTCGCATTCTCAAATCTGTGGCAAGAGCTGCCTCTCTGCGGCTTCTACATCTCGCGCCTTCCCCGTCGTGTCTCGCCGCGTTGCCACAGAATGCAAGGTTTGCTAGCATTTGCAAGTGTCCTTGGCATTAACGGTCCGTGTATTGCTCTGAGGTGTTTCGATCCGGACATGCATGCCTAAAAGACATTGTAAGTTGAGTTCTTATTTCATAGACAACGTCAATGTGACATGTTGACAATCCAAAGTACATCACTGAGGGAATTGCATGAAATTGTGTACTCTGCAGATCAACAAGGGCGATAAGCTTCCGTCGACAACCCTCAAGGATCAGGATGGAAAGCAAGTAAATCTTTCCAGGTTTACGGGAAAGCCTTTAGTTTTATATTTCTACCCCGCAGACGAGACTCCTGGCTGCACCAAGCAGGTTTGTCTCTTCCCAAATTGAGAAGAAGTCTCGCAAAATTGGCATCTGCCGTTAAGCTAGGAAGATATTGAGACCTCGTTCTTAGCTGGTCCTGCCTTCACCGGATTAACTGAATCCACGAACAGGGAGCATTGACATCCCTGTCTCTTTTTGTTCTGAGCAGGCGTGTGCGTTCCGTGATTCTTACGACAAGTTCACGAAGGCTGGTGCTAATGTTGTGGGAGTGAGCGCTGACAGCCCTGAATCTCACAAGGTACGCATCCGGCCTCTACACTTAACTTCTCTTTCACCCTTCGTTCCGTGGATGTATTACGTTAGTTAACATCTAGCGTCGTCTAATTAATCAAACCACTTCAGCACCGCTTAAGCGTGACCTGCAGTGGGGAGGTGGGGCCGGAGTCCTCATGTCCACAGATCGCAATGTACTGTGAGAAAGTTTGCACAAATACATTTCTGGAGCTGTGTGTCTGATGGACTTTCTCTGTGATTGTACCCAGGCGTTCAAGCAAAAATACAGACTGCAATTTACCCTTCTGAGCGACGAGAACAACAAGCTTCGTAAAGACTGGGGAGTTCCTGGGGATTTGTTCGGTACCTTGCCCGGGCGACAGACATACGTCTTCGACAAGAACGGAGTCTGCCAACTTATCTTCAACAATCAGTTCCAACCCGAAAAGCACGTGGGCGAGACTTTGAACGTACTAAAAAGCATTTAGATAGTAAACGGGTCGCAAATGATCACACTTGTCTGTTTGTGCCTCATACTGTGCTATCTTTTCATCCATTACAGAGCACAATTTTGTGGCCAAAGGTGAATAGTACTAGTTGCCTCAGCTGGAGGAGAGCGTTTCGCAGTCCATCAGGATTTCGGGGTAGGTTCCTGTCAGAGATCTCCAGCCAAGGATGTAATGTACTTCATTGTTCATACAAATGTAGCTTTGTATAATTCATCACTACAATTTAGTTCAGTAGCCACGGGCAACTCACTCTTCCTTTTTTTCCAGTTTTTCTTTATTGAGGCGTATCTTGGCCTGGAGCCTTGTGCTCTTACGGGCGCTTCACCCCTTGCATTGCCCTGCGGTCGAGGCAACGGGGTCCTAACTCCCGAGTCAACTCCAGGAGGGTCCTCCTCTACAATGTGCCCCGGGGGATTCGAACACGGGTCTGGATCGAGGGCAACGCACTCTTTCTGCCAGTTTCCGTGCTCGTATCCTTAGTGTTTGTCGTCTCCGCTACAACACCCTCACTTGCCTTGTAATCCGGATTTTGTCGGGTCCCGCCTTTTACGAACTAGCTGGAGAGAATTAAAACTCGTGATTCTTCTTCTATAGGCTTGTCTGGTCCTACGCCGCGAAGGAACAATTACAGATGAGTCAGTGAATGAAGTATT